TATTCTTTTCCCTTGGAAGAGAGGTATTTTCTTGCTTTCCCATATTTTTTGTGGCCCTGCGGTGATTTCTAATCATCTGATAGATGGTGTGTTTCTTCATAATTCTTGAAGTTCAATCTGAGTGTTCAGGAGCGTGCAAAAGGAGGTGATCTGTTTGCTATTCTGTTTTTATCCCTTTATGTGGCAGATTCACTGGATATTGAGGAATATGTTAACTCTAGTAGTATTTGGATGTTTGGCTATGGTTCCCTTAGATCCGTCTAGAAACACAGTGAATGGAGATTGAGGAGCGGAGGGATGAGATAAAAGAAAAAGAGAAGGAAATAGAGAGAGAGAAAAGAAAAAAAATAAACAGAGAGAAAAAGAAGGAAAAAGGAAAACAACCAAAAATTTTATTTATTTATTTTTTTAAAAAGCAAAAAATAAAAAACTGTGCAGCATGGAGGAGTCTTCTGAAGGCCTACCCTTTGCCTGTCCTGGATATGGTAGAGGGAAAGGGGATTATTAGCAAGATAAAGGCAGGGCTGAAAGCCAAGATAATACATTAAAAAAAAATTTGAAAAGGAAAAATTACTAAAAAAATGAGAAAAAAGAGATAGAGGCAGAGAGACAGAGATAAAGACAGAGAGAAGGTTAGAGGGGCTCCCTACCACTCGAGTTTGTGGGCTGGAGGATGAGTTATCAGTAGAAAATCTTCATTTCTCCTTTTTCCCTGAAATCACTAGTTCTCAGGAGCCATGGAGGAGTCTTCTTCTGAAGGCCTGCCCCTTGCCTCTCCTATAGGATGGCTAAGTTCTAAACTTACCTCGAGCCACTGTAACCTTTCAAGGTGCCATGTCTCTTTCCTATGTAAGGGCAGTTCTTTCTCTAAGTACAGCCTCACTACCTCCATGCCCAACTTGCCTGGTCCCACCCCTTTCCCCGTTTCTGTTGCTGTTGTTCCGGGGATACTTCACCAAGAGCCAGCACGTCGGGCAGTCGCACCAGGCAAGGTGAGGCAAACACGCAGTGACAGTCATCCGACTGAAATACCCATTGCGTCTGCTTCTCTGGGGGTATGGTCTCTCAGGTTCCCATCCAGAATTTTTTATAAAATGGATTGTATATTTACTTTTATTTATTATCACTATTATTATTTTCCAGTTTGTTACATGTTTTCTCTCTCTTTCTATCTCTCTCTCTCTCTGGGGCACACATGTTTTCTCTCTCTTTCTATCTCTCTTTCTCTCTAACTGAGAAAACAAGCCTCCAGGTCCAGGACTCAAACTATGACTGGTCATGGAATCCAGTGTCTTCACCACACCACCTGTTGGCCACCCATCCAGAAATTTTAAAATGTTAGAACTTACTGTTCACCCTGTGGGGTGGTTCCTCACTGTCTCTCTCTCTCTGTCTCTCTGTTTCTCCAGTAAGTGCACACACCCTACAGCAAAAATCTTTTTTCAAAAACAGAAAAGGTGAGAAATCACCCCACAGGGGAATGGTCACATTGCAGTCCCTTCTTCATTCTCCTCTTGGGATTTTGAGCATGAATGCACATGCACCCAGTGTGAGTTTTGAGTCTCAGGGTCTGGGACTTGAACTGTGATTGGCCATGTGGGAGTCCAACACCTTAACCACTATACAGTCTGCTGGCCTTTATCTTGCTTTTTATACTCTGGAGTTTTCATCACCTGTTTGTTCTGGTTCTGTGAAGGAATTGTGTGCCGTAGACACTTTTTTCTCATCTGTAAGTTTATTTTTATTTTTTATTTTTGCCATAAAGTGCATGTGCTCATTGGACAGAGACAGAGAAGAAAAGTGAAAATTACCCATGATTGGGGATGGTCACACTGCAGTCACTTCTCTTCCGTTCTGCCCTCAACATTCTGGGCACACATACACATGTAGCTGGTATGATTTTTAAATTGCTGGGTTTGGGACTCGAACCACAGTGAGTCATTTGGAGTCCAGCACCTTAACTACTAGGCAACCTGTTTGCCCCCATATATTTCTCTTGAGGTAGGCTTTATAACTTTTGATTTTATTTATCTTTATTTTATTTTTTATGTTTTAGTTTGCTATAGGCCATGTGCTCTTGCCAGAGCAAGAAAGTGAGTGAAAGGGAGAAAGCATTCCCAGGGGGGTTGGCCATGCCTCAGTCTCTTCTTAATTCTCCCCTTGCAATTTTGGGCATGCATGCACATGTGCCTGATGTATTTTTTTCTTTTTTCTTTTCTTTTTGCTTCATTTCATTTCATTTCTTGGCCTGATGTGCTTTTCTAGTTGCCATATTCAGGACTTGAAACACATGATTTGCCATGTGGGATCCAGCTGCCTTAACCATCATGCTGTTGGCTGGTCCCTTTTCTGTATTTTAATTTCCAGAGGGCACATACACTTGCCGGAGAGAAAGAGACACAGAGAAAAGCAAGAGGGAGAAAATAACCTCCAGGGGAGCATGGTCATACTACAATCCTTTCTCCTCCATTCTGTCAGTGTTTGGGACACACACGTGTGCATGCATGTGCACATGCGCCCAGTGTGTTTCTCAAACCACAACGGCCAAGATTCAAACAATCGTCAGTCATGTGTGATCCAACCCCTTAGCCACTAGACTGCAGGGGTGGCTCCGGTTTCATAACTTTAATCAGAGATTAGAAGTAACTCAAGATACATTCAAGAATGACAGTGGTTTAGAGTAGTCGTTGCCTTGACAGTGTTGAATTCAAATGAACAGCTTTAAGTAATAAACATTTTTCTGTTATAAAAGAAATATATATCCTTGCCAAATTAATATTTTCAACCTTTTTCAATTAAAGCTTTATATAGTAGATACATAGTTGCATCTAATTCTGATAAAATACTGGCTTAAAGAACACCTAGCCTGCATGCGCTCTCTCTGTTTCTCTTCAGCGAGTGCACATGCTGTCTAGCAAAATTGAAACAAACAAACTCAACTGATGAAAATGAGATATAATTGATTTGTTTAAGATAGAATTGATTTGTTTAGTCTGTTCTGTTTGTGTGTGTGTCTGTCTGTCATCCATCTAACTGTCTGTCCACTAGCCTGTCCTCTTTTTTGTTCCATGCACTATAAAAGCTGCTCCTAAGTCCCGGTGTTTGAAGCAGCCAGCCAATTACTTTGGATTCCTCTCTGGAGTAGCTTACTAAAATTGCTTCAGCCAATTTCTAAATGTAAAACACAATTTAAAATTCTTTCTTTATGCAAATTTATAGAGTCCATGTGAAACAATAAACTCTAAAACCTCCTATAAGTGCTGATTGTTCTGGTTGTCATGTTGTATTTATGGCATTCTCTCAGAATGTATTCTGATCAATATCGTTGGATTTCAGAAACATTCTGGGACTTGTTTTTCTAATGCCAGAGGCTACAGGTGTTCTCCAGAGGGAGAGAGTGAGAAAGCACACCCTCAGTGGGGCATAGTCATGCCACCCATTTCTCCTCCATTTCTCCATCCTGTCAGGATATCGAGCACACACATACACATACCTGGTGTGTTTTTCAGGCTGCTGGGGCTGGGGTTCTAACTGTAGTTGGCCATGTGGGATCCAGATCCTAAGGCTATAAGGCTGGGCCTGACAATTTTTTTGTTTTTAATTTTATCTATTTCTTCCATGAGTAAGAGAGACAGACACAAAGAGAGTCAGAAACAGACGGAGATAGGCATTACAGTAGGGTCTCTATATCATGATCCACCCAAGCTTTAGCCAGCCCTATCAGATAAATGGCAATCTTTCTGCCCAGCCTCCCAGTGACTTAGGATTACAGGCGTGCACGGCCATATCCAGCATGTTCAGGTTGCTCTGGGAACCTAACCCGGGTCTCCCATGCAGCTCCAGTGTCCCAAGTAGTGGCCTAACTGTGCTGCAGCTGGGCCCATTTTAACCATTTTTAAGTGTACAGTGTAGTAGTCTTTAGAACATTCATAATGTGCAACAGGTTTCCAGAACTTCATCTTACAAAACTAAAACTGTGTCCACTATACAATAATTTCCCTTTGTCCCCTTCCCCAGCCCTGAGAACTGCTGCTCCACTCTCTTGTCTCTATGAATCTAACTATTTTAGTTATCACATGTAAGTGGGATCATACAGTATGTGTTTTTATATGGTTGGTTTATTTCAATTAGCATAACATCTCAAGGTTCATCCCTGTCGCAGCATATCAGGATCCCCATCCTTTTTAAGGCTGAGTAATATTCTATGACATGCATCTACTACATTTTGTTTTTACATCCCTCCAGAGATGGATATGTGAGTTGCTTTTTCCTTGTGGTTATTGTGATGAATGCTGTTATGAATGTGAATGTGCAAGAGATTTTTAGTATTTTTTTAAACATTCCCCAGGAATTCTAATGTGCAACCAAGGGTGAGAACCACTGAGAGGGTTTCCGAACTTAGAAGACAATCAATGTTATAAATCTAATATACATCTTAATGTGAAGTTTTAAGAATTATTGGGACCAGCAGTTAGCGTAATGGCTATGTCACTGGACTCCCATGTAGTCAATGGTGGTTCGAGTCCCGGACCCGGTGGCTTAAACTCACGCCGGGCACATGTGTGTGCATGCCCAAGATCCCAAGAGGAGAATGGAGGAGAAGGGATTGCGGCATGGCCATCCCCCTTGGGGAGTGATTTCTCACTTTCCGTCTCTCTGTCTCTCTCTGTCTGGCAAGCACACATGCCCTATAGTGAAAACCTCTCCAAAAAAAAAAAGAATTATTAATATATGGCATCTAATATATTACTCTAGAGAGATGTAGAAACATAGCATCTATTTTCTGTTCTGAAGTTGTTTTCCCCCTGAATTTAAGGTGTTACTGTGGCAGACTGATTGGAGACCATCATGGGATAGATTATACCTGGACCATCTCAGCTGCCTCGGGTAATGAAAATGAACAATGGTCTGTTGAAAAGCACACAAGGAAAAGCCCTACAGATGCCTTTGGGACTATTAATTTCCAGGACGGAGAGCACACCTACCACTCCAAGGTTTGCTAATAATCCAGATTGTTTTACTGTTTTGAACAGAGGCTAGCCCCAAGTGTATCTCCACATTGTATCTCCAAGTGTAGATAATCAGATGACCTGGTTATACTGCAAAAGCGAGCCATGTTATTGACCCTTGATATGGCCCAAACTTCTCTATCCTTTATGTCTGAAGGGGACTGAACCTTTTCCAGGTGTGTGTGACAAGTTCTTTATTTGACTGACCTCTTTATTTTAGCAAGCTTATACTTTCTGCAGAAGAGAATGGCTTATTATCCATTAGACAAATGTCAATGGGCTGCCTTTTTCTTAAAGAAGGCAGAAAAGTACTACCAAGGAGGGGGCTTTAGCTGAAGTAAGACCATAGCGATCATCAGTAACTTGTGATGATTCACATCCCCTTAGTTCCTGTGAGGGCCTCTTTGCAGGAGGAGTATGGGGGAATTCTGCTCCGTACCCACTGCATGTACCCACTTGGACTATCCAGGCCAGGTTTCCTCCTGTTCCTAACATGGTAAGGTTACATGTGATCCGCACACTGACAGATCCGCTCTCCCTCAGGTGTTCTCTCTTGAGCGCATTTACTTCCTGCTTTATTGAAGCAGCTTTCACCAGGGAAACTGCAGGCCAATCCTGCTTCAGGAAAGGGCTGCACTAGCTGTGCCCTGGAGTGGAGCTGTCAGTTGGCTGGATTAAGAACCCTGGTTCCTAAGAGAGTGAGCCTCAGACAGCTCCATAGTACAGTTCTACAGTAATCTACATGTAAGAGTTCTATTCTTGCTCACTAATCAGAGCAACATAAACCTTTTCACAAGAGCCAACTCGTGTTTTCCCTGCTGTTTTAGTATGCAGTAGAGCCGTGGCAGCTCAGTTTTCTCACTGTAAACTGAATCCTTATGACCTTTGGATTCTTACTGTTACATTTTGTGATAGCTGCACTTTTCCAATGTTCAGGGATTCTAATATTCTGTGAGACAATTTGATTATACATTAAGAAGTTCAAAGATGAATGGGAAATTGTTTTTATAATTTTATTTTTATAAGATGCTATTTCTTTTTTATTATTATTTTAATTTGCTACAGGGCATGTGCTCTCACCAAAGAGAGAGAGAGAGAGAGAGAGAGAAAGCCCGAGAGAGAGCAAGTGAGAAGGCAAGTAACCAGGTCTCGGATTCTAAACTGTGGGCTGCTGTATGGAAGTCCAGTGCCTTAACCACCACACCACCTGCTAGCCCTGGGAAATATTTTAAATCGCTATGATTTTCTGGATAATGTGATAATTATGTATGTAAATCTCGACCTCTGGTTATTCTAGATATATAGCAATTTTATAATTCATAGGGTCTCATTGACCTTAGTTTTCCTAGAAATCTGGCTTATCTTGCTGTTGGTTGGCATATGCTTGAGGAGGGCAAACTCTTCATCTCAATGCTGTGTGAATGGCCTGTATACGGCTGCATTTGCTGGAAAAAGAACGCCATTCAAGCAATATGATCTTGGGCAAAACGCAGAATGACTCTGGGGCTACCTGCTATCTTGGGCCTCCCTTCCCT